CATTTGTTATTTTCCGTTGTCTTGTTGACACCCGTCTCAAGCATTCCGCAGCTTTTGAAACGTTCAAAAATGTCTGCATTGAAACATTTTGTGACCATAGCTCCAGCAGGCATTGGCGATCATCGATGCGGGTTTGATGTCTAGTTTGTATTGTTTTTAAGAGCATATTTTGTGAAATTGTCAGGAGGAGATGCTCTTGGCCGCTGCCTTGGAGCGCCACCATGGATGCTTTGTTGTCGACTATGGCTCTGTTTTAATAATCTCTTGATTACAGTCAGGGTTCCCGCTGGGTTCCCGTCTTTAAAATCCTGAAAATGTTGGAAATACAAAAAGAAAATAAGTTTGAGGCCTTGAAACCACCTTGCTATGACTGCCATGTTTACACGACTCATTCTTAGGCCGACTGGAATTTACTCTGATTACTTGTGTCGATGCGAACATAGCTGTAGATGATAAATGAAATCATAGCTTCACATGGTACTTGAATTTAAGGGAATTGGTTCTGGAAAGCATTTAAATTCAATATGTGGGAATTTTGTCCCATTTATTTCTTGTTTTTGCTTAAATACTTTACTAAAGACTTCCTCACACTTTTCAGAGTTTTTTTCCTTTTTTTTTTTATCAATTATCTTTCACATTAAAATATTGAAATCTTCTATGTTATGTGATATATTTTTTATTTAAGATTTTTATAGCTGGATTACTTGTAATGTAAATCATGTGATACTGATGAAAAGCGCCTTTTGAAGTATGTACAGGTCTTTTTTTTTTTTTTTTTTTTAAACAGATGTCCATGCATTAAGTGTCTTTATTGGAATACGCCCAAAATCCAACACCTGATCTTTCGGGAACATTAGTTATTCATGCATACTATATTTATTAGAATGTACTGAGTAAAGTTTTGCTGGGTTGTAGAATCATTCATCCTCTGATGTCTCGCTGTCAGGATTTTAATAGAAACAGTCTCGTTTGGCCGTGTCATCCCTTAGAAGCTGGATTGGAATATTGTAAAATTATCCCACTGCTTTTCTTGCATAACTATAATCTTCTAAAAGGATGTCTTGTTTCCATGGCAATGCCTTTGGTTTCCATGGTGACTGCACTCTCAACATGAGCAAAGTCTCTTGGAGTACAGTGGGCCCACATTTCTGAGGGGGATTCTGTGAAACGACAGCATTGAACATCGCTGGAGGACACTTCCTGTGTCTGGAGCTCTTGGAGTGAAAAATTATCAATCTTCTTTTATATTGACAGCTGATGCTTACGTTACAGCCATGCGTATTCAGACTCTTTGTACTTATTAAGTGATAACTCAACGCTGTTTACAAGGCACCACATGTGTTTTGTCTGAAAAACATGCAAACATATTACCGGTATATGAGATGATTATTAGGAATCTTACTGTAAACTTTGGCATAAAGTAACTTGTGGATATAAGTAAGCAAATACTAAATCAAGGCAGAGATTCTCCTAGAAAAGAAAAGGGGGAATAAAGAATTAATTATTTTCCCTGTTATTGTTCAACCGTAATGGAGAAGTTTCCTAAAAGCTGATTTATTTATTTAATTTTTTTCCTTCTCCCTAAATAAAGCCTGTGTTCAGCCAGCTCACTCCTGGTCCACAGCAACAAGTTATTCATGACTTCTGGTTTCATTGTTCTGGATCCTGTCAGTAAAGTTTTGCAATACAAAAAGTTGGGTTATTGTTGTTTAAAAAATTGTTTACATAATTTAAGGGGAAAGATGATCAACTAGCTCATTTCAATGCAGAGTTAAGTATTTATCTTAGGCCTCAATCAATGTGTTAGTTCTAATCCTTCATCTTCAACCGGGGGTTCGCGGCCCCTAGGGCGTCCACAGAGGTGCTGCATGGGGGTTGCGAAAGTTTTAGTTGATTAGAGTTTTTTTTTTTTTCTCTTTTTCTTTGAAATGTCTCTACATAAACATTAACATGAATTCAACACATTGTAGTACACGGATAAATGGAGGCGGAAGATGTCTTTCAGTCATCAATGCACACATTCAGTGACACACCGGAGCTCTTTCAAGCTGGGCACCGTTTCATTCACAACACCTGTCCCATCAACCAGAAATCCGAATCAGAAATACTTTAATAATCCCAGGGTGAAATTACTTTTGTTATGTTACTCAATCTGTAATAGAGTGACTATAGGACCAGTTTTTATAAAACAAAACTTCATACAATATATAATTGGGGAGTTCTGCTCCATCCCGCCATCAGTTTGGGGGTCCTTGGCCTGGAAAACGTTCAACACCCCTGTTCTAAGGCATTGGGCTGAAGTGGATACTGCTGTGTTTATCTTTTAAATTTGTTTCTTAGTTGTTAAGGCTACACCAAGAGATTGCTTTTTTTTGAGAGGTGATTTATTTTCTAATAAATGTAAGCAAAATGTTTCTTCAGCTTTTCTTGGCTGATTTTAACATAATACATCATCAAATCTGACATTTCTGTTTTCACTCCTCAGCTTAGAGTTTAAACCAATCAGTTGTGGCCTCTACACATTAATGATTATATAGAAAATCTCCTCTATTCAGCCTATTTGGACTGTGTTGCTTCATTGGACTCGGATGTTTAGTCCTGCTGCAGCTATAGCAACACAAACAAGAACATCCATCCGCAAGCTCAGCATGTGGCTTAACAGAAATCTGCAACAAAATGAATTAGACCTGACAGGGAGTCTGGAAGCATTAGGACCCCTACACCACCTCCCTGCGGAAATCAGATTGACACAGGTCAGTCTGCAGAACTCCAGGGATTTTAATTATCCGACTGGATTTAACTCCAGAGCTGTCAAAAATATTTAAATCTAACTAAACATTGAATGTTTTAATAGGGATATATTGGCACCTGTCCATGTTTGGGTGAAGTGGCAAATCATTTTAAGTGATTTTCTGACTTTTATTAACTCAAACCACGGCCTAGATTATCATCATATGGATATATCATCTTAAATCTCTCTTTTGTTGTTTTATTTTTACTGTATGCATTGAAATTTCCAATTTGTGCAAATTGGATGACCAAATGTGTAATTTTATTGTTAAAAGCAGAGCGTATGAGTGTGCTGAAGCATTAGACAGCATGTATATTCTATTCTATCTGAAAGTCCTCATGCTATAAATCTTAACCAGAAAGTTTAGTACAGCTTTTAAAGTTGTATACATTAACACAGCATTAAAATGCTAATCTTTAAATTAAAGCGGTGGATCTAATAGTGGAAAAATTGTTGGTTGAAATGGGATTGTTGATGAAAGGAGACAGAAACTCTGGGAGGATCCTGCAGCTCCTACAGCGATGCTGCATGCTTCAAGTCGGGGCACCAGTTGCCCTGGGAGTTGTGGCTGAGCTTTCTGTATTGATGCAGACTAATGGGCTGACTCAGTCTCTGCCAGCTTCACTTTGTGAATACTCGCTTGCACTTTTACTCTGGTGAAGTCTGCCCATATCCTGTTGGAGTCGAAGCCTAAGTGGGTTGTGCTGTGTCAGGTGGCTGGAGACCAGTTATCTGCTTAAACACAAGGCACCGAATCAAATCTCTAACTAGAAGTTGTCTTTTATCTGCAAATCACTTACATCCATGGGATTATTTTTCAGGTTTAGACCAACGGAGTACTTTATGTTTGCAAATTCAGTTATTTATTCCTTTGCATATATTAGGTTATTAGTTAAGCCATCAGCATGAAACAATAAAAAAAATAAAATAAAATAAAAATTCCTCTGGTGGTGAACAACTGAGCTATGATGAGGTGATTACTAACTGTGGTTTCATTTAATTTTTATGCCATTTCTTTGCCAGTTATTGATGGACTAGCTGTGTTTTTGTTTCACACAGAGGAAATCAATCCAAATTGACATGAAGTAGAAAACGCATGACTGACAGGAAGTAGAAGATGTAGGGGGTTTCAAAATTTGCTTTTTGCCTTAATGGGTCGTTAATTAGCTAGTGACCTGCCTGTGGAGCTTCCCGTGACTCTCCCACTGAGAGAGAATCGTGTTGCTCCACAGATTCCCATTCCAAGAGTTGGCTTACCAGTTTGGTCCAGGTTAGCCTAACAGTGTAGCTCTGTTGCTGACTGGTTAATGTATGATGTGGTGAAAACTCTAGACGGTGGATAAGATGGAGTTTTGATTATAAGACATATTGTTTTGTTTTTTGTTTTTTTGCTGAAGGTGTCTCCACTTCCTGTTTTGAAGTCTGCTTTCCCTGGTGTTTAATCCAGTGTAACTTTATTTGTATTGTATTGCTCTATTTTTAGCTACGTTTTAAAAATAAATTCAATCCTGATTGCACATAATCTTAAAATGATTAAAGATATAAGTTTTATGTATCCAAAAATAAAAACAGTCTTTAGCTCTTGAAGCTAACTGGTTTAGTCCAGCAGGAGGACCAAAAGGAATATTTACCTTTGATAGTTTTTTAAGGAGGGTTTAGTTTAGTGCACAGCTGTGTGCTTCTACAAAACCTAAAGGAAGAGACTCTGATTAATCTCTTATATTATGTCCTGAGTCCTGACATGCAGTGATGTTTATTACACATTGATTATAAAATGTTGACGATGTCTTTGCTGTTGCTGCAGGAGGCCAACCCAAGATGAACGGCGAGTCAGGTGCCGGGGTGGTGACGGCCCCCCCTCCCACCACAGCCCCACACAAGGAGCGCTACTTTGACCGTGTGGATGAGAGCAGTCCTGAGTACCAGAGGGAGAGGAACATGGCGCCTGACCTGCGGCAGGACTTCAATATGATGGAGCAGAAAAAAAGGGTCTCTATGATCCTTCAGAGCCCAGTCAGTGCATTTATTCTGTTAATGAAATCAGTTGTTGCATAAGGAAAAAAAAAGAAATGCTGTTATCCCTTTTTTTTTTGACTTCACTTCCAGGCTTTTTGTGAAGAGCTGGAGACGATGATCCAGGATCAGTTGAAGAAGGGGAAAACGCCCACCAGCCTGTTGGCTTTGCAGCAGATCGCAGACTTCATGACCACCAGCATGCCTTCCATGTATCCAGCTGCACCACAGGGAGGCATGGCAGCTCTCAACATGAGTAAGCAGGAGAGAGAATGAGTGCAGAGGACATCTTGACCCCTGCACAGACATGTCTGTCCTCACAATGAGTACTACAGTGTGCCATTGTTATCAGCAGGACATTGATGCTAGCTGTATTTGACTAAGCCACATATGTTGATGTTTTTAGTGACACTTTATAAACCTTCTTATTCTTGCCTGATATCCTGTTTGTTTTTAGCTGAACTCAACGGCTGTTTTATCACTAGGATTTAAATCAGGTGTGTTTGTTTTGTTTCTTTCTGTTGTGCGTTTCTTCCTGCAGGTTTGGGGATGGTGACGCCAGTCAACGATCTGCGAGGCTCGGACTCCATCTCCTACGACAAGGGCGAAAAGCTTCTCCGCTGCAAACTGGCTGCTTTTTATCGGCTAGCTGACTTGTTTGGATGGTCTGAGCTCATCTACAACCACCTCACAGTAAGACTGCTTCCTGATATGCAGTAAAACAGAATATGTGTAACAGTTTTATCACCTTACTTATACCTAATTCATTTAGAACAAAACTTTGAAGCCTAGTAAGGAGGATTATCAGACCCTCAGAACACAGCCATCTCCACACCAACAGTGTTAATTATTATCGTTAGTATTTTGTGGTTCTTTGTTTATCTGATGTGAAATAGCTGCACTTATGTCTACTTTCTTTTTTTTTTTTCAAACCAGTAAAAAAAAATACTTTTTCTAACAATAGTGTCTGTCTGTCCTTTATGGCTGATTTTTAAAATCTTTCACTTTAGTTCAATTGTTTTTTTAAACCCTTTTTTTTTTGTAAAATCAAATTTAATATCATGCATTTGCATGAACAGTTTATTGCAGAAAAATGGCACACTATATATATATATATATCAGGGGTCACGAATTAAAAATCAGCGAGGTCCGAATAAGGAAAATCATCAACCAGTAAAGGTCCGGAGACGTTTTTTATTATAATTTGTTACTTTAAACAGAATTTAACACTGAAAATGAGGTTTAATGTCTCCATGTTATGCATTGAATTTTTAAATGGAAAGAAAAAAACAAAGTGTTTTTGAAGTAGAGAACGGCAATCGTTCAGTTTGGTATATCGACAATTTCCTGATTCACATATTTTATAAAAATGACTGAACTGACCGTTGGTTATTTTTTTTATGGCTTAGAGAGAGCAGTGGGCTTTAGGTTGACCTGCAAGCTTTAAAGCTAGGTTTGAATGACGACAAAGCCATTCTCAAGCCATTCCAGGCTCATTCGTGAGCTTATATATTCCCAAAAACTAAGACCATTTGTTTAGATGATTGGATGCAAACTATCGGTACTTCAACAAACCAGGAAGCAGATTTCTCATCTCGATCAAAATATTTATTTTAAAAGTTTCATCAAATGCAGTCAAAATGCCCAAGAGCGCCTCTCACAACTTCAAAAGAAACTTCTCATCTCAGGCCTGGATGAAGAGATGCTGAGTTTGGAAGCGGAGATAAAACATAGTTCATACAAACCATGGATGATCCTAGTTATCCCTGTTACAAAAATCCACAACAAAATGAAAATATTTGGGCAGAAACTGAACATATGCTCGCTGGATGATGGATGGTGGGGATTTTTTTTAACATTTCATATTAAATTAGACTTTAATTTCCGCATGTTTTGCTCCTGAATTTAATAATAATATAGCGCATTCTCTCCTTGAGCTCCGAAGAAGTTGGAGCGGAGCAAGATGGGAGGAACAGCGGAGGCTGTAGGCTTTGCTTTGCGCAGCGGGGCGGAGGGGAGACTCAGAACGTGGGGATTTTGGAGTTAAACACTGTCGTCAGACAACATGCGGCCATTTATAAATGTTGTAAATCAGGTTGGATCCGGTCCGCTTATCCCTGACCTCTGATATATAGTATTATATAGTCTGCATTAGTGTGGATGTGCAGCACTTGACCCGCCCCCCTGTTTTTCTTAACAGTGGCATATATTTTGTCTAGTCCAGGTCTGGTTGTGCTTCTCTAACATGTGCTTCCTCGGTTAGGAAAACAGCAAATATTTTGACAGAATGCTTTTTAAAACATATTTTGCTTTTTAATCCGTTCCAAGCATATTTCTCACTCTACAAACACAAATATGAGCTGATTAATTACAATTTTTCTCCTGCCAATAACACAGACTGCTTTGGTGAAAGGCTACGATAGCACTAGGATGCCTACTGTTTTGACTTGTTGATTATATGGCGCATTGGATTTTAAAGTTGGCTTTCTGTTAATTATAAATGGAAAAAAATTTAGAAAAGCTCTCCTTCATAATCCGAACAGCTTGTTTTGAATTCTTTGGATCAAATGTGTTTCAGAGCAGCTCTGCCCCACAGTTAAGGTTTCTGAGACTCTGCATACATATCAGGTTGTGTTGCAGCTAATAGATCTGTTTTCTCACTGTCTTTGTTAAGGGGGCAAACACAAGTTTCTGTATTGGACCAACAAAATTTTATGGCTTCACTATGATCAAAGTTTGCACGTAATACTCATTAGAAATGTTGTCTTAATACGGTAACTCACTGAGCTCACTGAGAGGTGCAGACAATCAATGGAGACCTGGATCTGATGTACAAATTTACCCTAAATATCTTATTTCTTTATCTTGCAGGTCAGAGTTAACTCAGACCAGGAACGCTTCCTAATAGTTCCCTTTGGGCTCCTTTACAGTGAAGTCACTGCCTCTAGTTTGGTAAGAACCCGTTCAGGTTTTTATCAGCATTTCAGTATATGCTAAAACTCTGTCCCTTGTTTTTCCGTTAAAATTTAACTTGAGTTAAATGTCTCCAAAAGACAGTTTTAATCATGCCTTCACATTAAATCCCCTTCAGGTGAAGATAGACCTTCAGGGGGAAATCGTAGACAGAGGAAGCACCAACCTGGGGGTCAACCAGGCCGGCTTCACCCTCCATTCTGCCATCTATGCCGCACGGCCCGATATCAAGTGTATTGTACATATACACACTGCGGCAGGTGCAGCGGTGAGCACACACACTCTGACTTTACCAAGCAACATGCTGCCTATAGATATCCAGATATTTCATCAGCCTGTATGTTTATGCTGCAGGTATCGGCCATGAAATGTGGGCTGCTGCCCATCTCTCCTGAGGCTCTGTCCCTGGGGGAGGTGAGCTATCACGATTACCATGGCATCCTGGTGGACGATGAAGAAAGAGTTCTCATACAGAAGAATCTTGGGGCCAAGAGCAAGGTATCTACAGGATATGAAAAGGAATCCGGAACAAGCTCTGGCTCTGTGGCTTATCTATTTTCTTTATCTCAGGTTCTTATCCTGAGGAACCATGGTTTGGTGTCGGTTGGAGAAACGGTGGAGGAGGCCTTTTATTACATCCACAACCTGGTGACCGCCTGTGAAATCCAGGTTGGTCTAACACGACAACTAGAAAGCTGCTTCATCTTAAATATTTCACATTAAAAACGTCTAAATGTCTGCAAATGTCATTTAACTGTTTTTTTTATGTTATTTTCATCAAAGCTCTCTGTATCGTTCATAACGACTATCTTTGTCTCTCCATAAATTCAGTTTTTTTCATGTCGCTGTCTTTGTGTTGCATTTCCTTCCTCCATGTCTGTCTTGCTTCTTCTCTTTCACTCTCTGCTCTGGTTCTGTCTGGTTTATATACCTTCTGAATGTTTTCTAGGTGCGAACACTGGCCAGCGCTGGAGGTCCAGACAATCTGGTTATGCTGGACCCGTCAAAGTACAAGTCTCGCCCATGCGTCCCTGAGCCAGCAGGCGACGGGTCGTCGGCACACCCAAAGTGGCAGATTGGGGAGCAGGAGTTTGAGGCTCTCATGAGAATGCTCGACAATTTGGTAAGCCCTCAG